ACAGCGACGGCAGCCTCCCAGGGAAGGCTTAGCTCAGGTCTGGGCTTGAGAGTCCCAGGAGAGCTGTCCCTTCTCGTTTGCCTGGTGGCGCAGAAAGAGACACTTCCGGTGCTGGGGGTGGGGGAGCGCCGCTGCCCCAGCAGGAAACCTCCCCCTGCTCTGTCACTGTGAGTCACCTGGGGTGGACCAGGGACCAGAGAGAGCAGAGAACGCTGTGTCTGTCTGAGCTGTTTGTCACAGTGGGCTTTGGGGTCAAACACGCCCAGAGCAACTGCAGCCCAGGGAAGTCGCTTCCTGTCCCCCTACAGGGAGGAGGCAAAGGTATTTGCCCCGTGAGGAACACATGAACTAATGCGGTGCTTTTGGCATTCAAGATGTATTGCATTTGCAAGGCTGGGTACCAGGAGTTGTGGGACAGTGGCCCCCAGCTGCTGGCAGGCCCTGCTCAGTGGCCCAAGGGCTGCCCCCCTGTATCCCCACAAGGCACAGCATGACAAGTTGGGGCTCAGATCATGAAACTGTGGAGTCACGTGGGTGCACTGATTGGCACCAGGCGTGGCATCTTCAGAGGACACCGATGCTTGGCAGATTACTGCTACTAGGACAGTTTTGGGAGTCTGGAGATGCTACCCGGCCGGGACCTGTGGATGAGCTGTCCCTCGTGCTTGTCAGACATTATGGGTCCCGGCCCCCACACCCCAGGGCTGAGTCCTGTGTAAACAGGTGCCAGAGCCCAATGGTGACAGCTGTGTCTCAGAAGCCAGCGTTGCAAGGCCACAAGATCGTAGCCACACCAAGATCGAAGCTGGGGTCCTCGCCCCAGGCAGAGGCCAAGTCTCCGGGGGCCTGAAGTGGGGGCTGGCTCTTGTGCCCCGAGCCTCAGGCTCGGCCACTGCTCTGGGCCCAGCATCTCCCAAAGACTGGGCACTGACTCGTTTTCTGCTGCAGCCCCCTTCTGGGCCCCAGCTGCTCTTGACCTTAACGAACCCCAGCTCCTGGGCCTCCACCTTGGCGCTGGCGGACCTGGCTCCCTGCCCCGCTCCCTCCAGCTCTGCTCCAACTTGGCCCTCAGCTCTCTTCAGGAGGCACAGAGCTAATCAGGCTGATTACGGCCCAAGTTCAATCCTCCGCTCCTTGGCTCCAACACGCAGTAAATTTCCTCCACCGCCTGGCTCCCCTGTGAGTTGCGCCTGTTGTCAGCCAGCTCGGCTTTGGACGCCACCAGCCCTCCCCCTCCGACACACCTGCTGTATCATCAGGGAGGAATCAGGCCTGCTCAAGGTGGGGGTGTCATTAAACGCCATCTAGAGAAGCATCTCCGTCGCCATCGGCTGCAAAACCCAGCTCAGCCTCCAGGGCTCTAAGTATGGAGAGCCTCTCTGTTTCGGTAGCATCTGACAAAGGAGAGCTGAGGTTTACAAGATGCTGTGGGAAATAACCTTTCTTCTCTCCAGCCCCAGGGGAGGCGAGTGGCTTTAGTCATAGCGTATGTGGCAGGAGAGGATCCTTGAACCTCCAGCCTTATTTCCTACTTCCCCCACCCTCAGGGTCTCTGGTGACTGCAGGTGACCTGAACAGACCGAGAGGAGGAGAAGGAGCAGGAGGCTGTGTTTATTCTCAAAGCCAAGCCCTCCTGGGAGGGAGAAATAAGCTCTGCTGACTGCTCCTTTTGCCTTGATCTCTGCCAGAGAGAGGGAGGCTTGACTGCGGGAGGAAAAACAGGAAACTTCGCAGTGATGAGTTCTGATTCAATTAGGTGTAAGGAGCGTGCATGACATCTGCGCAGGCCGCGCTGTGCCGTGGGGCGGGGGGGCGCTGGGCCCCATCCTGGGCCTCCCATGAGGAAGGGAGGATGATGAAAGGGAGCTGCTGGGTGCAGCGAGAACGTTATGGAGACCCGGGGGAGACAGATTGATTGTGAGGGTGCCTGACCAAAAGGGCTTCCTGGAGGAGCGGGGAATGGAGTTGAAGCATGGGTCAGGCTCTAGAGGGGGCAAGCCAGAGTGAAGGAGCTGCTGAGGGAAGCTGGGCAGTCTATGCCATGGGGGTGTGGGACGGACGGAAAGACGGTGGCCCAAGGGGCTGGGGATTTAGCTCAGCAGCAAAGCTCCTGCCTGGCAAGCGCAAGGTCGTGAGTTCGGTTCCCGGTACCGGAGAAAAACCAAAAACAAACAAACAAACAAAAAGATGGTGGCCCAAGTCAATGGGCCCAAGACGATGCCCGTGCAAAGACCCGCAGGCTGACAGCGGCGACATGGAAGGGCACCCGTAGCGCATGGTGAAAGCACGGGCGCAGTGGTCAGAGGCGGTTGGAGGGGTGGCCCCCAACTTCCACTCTGCCTTTCGCCCCTTGCAGAAGAAGCCTCCTCTCTGGGCCTTGGCGCGTCTGCCCCCAACAGTCTGCATCTCTGCGTGCTTGGGTGTCGTTGTGTCTGCAGGGGGACAGGGCTTTCCTCTGCACCAGCCCAGCTTGCTGCTCTGCCGTGGTGCAGGAGAAGACAGAGAAGAGACCCAGAGAGCCCGGGCTGGGAGAGACTTGCGGAGAAGACCGGAGCAGCACAGAAGGTGTGAGCGAATTCCACGGCGAGCTTTTCAATTTAAAAATTCATCACAGTCAAAGACGGCGGCGTGAATCTCCCTCAGAACACCCCCTCCGCACACACGTACCCCACCAGCCTGGCCACTTCCTGCAGCAGTGCTGGAGGCCCTCTTCCCAGGTGTCTCCCTAAGGTGTGATCAGAAATGCAGTGAGGCCGCTGCCCAGTTCCATGCCACAGAAAGGCAGCTCATAAAGACGCGACACCGTCCTCACCCACCTTATTCACCGCGTCGAGCGGCTGGTGACTTCCGGCTCTTCCCCCGCCGTTGAAAGGACCGTGAAAGAGGAATGTTTTGAATCGGTTCAGGACAGCGAGGCAGCCACAACAGTGCAACTAAAGACACTCAGGGAAGAGGATGTGCAGAGCTGCTTCAGAAAGAGGCAAGGGTGGTGGGCTGGGTGTGTTTGGGGTGAGGGGAGGGTTCTGAGGGCGAGTCATGACAACGTGTCTTTTACTGTAACACCTTAACAAAATCTAACATTTGCTGTAGTTTTTGGATCACACTGCTTAGATGTTTCTTTTCTCTCCATGGTCCTCCCTTCCTTCCCTCCCTCCCTCTCCCTCTTTTCCTTCTTTGCAGACCACACTTTTTCTCCTTCATTTCTCTTGTCCTTTCTTTTTAGGACTTTTTACGTGCCAAGCCTTGTGGTAGGCCTTGTGGGACTCTGTCCCAGTTCATCCCGAGAAGGACCCGGCAGGGGGACATAAAAGTCACGGTCAAGAACCCGGGCCAGCCGGGCGTGGTGGCACACGCCTGTAATCCCAGCACTCAGGAGGCTGAGGCAGTAGGATTGTTGTGAGTTCGAGATCCGCCGGGGCTACAAAGTGAGTTTAAGACCAGCCTGAATTGCATAGCGAGACCTTGTCTCAAAAAAGACAAAACAAACAAACAAACAAAAGAATCTGGGCTGGACTCCTGGACTCCCCGGTTTGCAATCTCAGCTGCCGCATGGGGTCAGGTAAGCTATGGATGCCTCTTTGCCTCAGTTGCCCTGGTGTGCACACTGGAGGTTGAGCAGTGCTTGGGTTTGGGGACTGGGCCCCCGGGTTTTGCAGATGAGACAGCGGAACTCCAGAGGGAAGTTACTTCCCACACTCGCCCGGACCCTAAGTGGCTTCCAAGAGCTGGGCCTGGGCGGCCTCTGCATCCTGCTGCTTTCTCTGCCTGTCCGGGGCAGATGCAAGAGGAAGCCGGAAGCCCTGGGGTAGCTCATGAGGTTCCAGACGGGCAGCCGCGATGGGTCTGCAGCGTTACGCAAGCGCCTCTCCCATGGCCACGGTGCCTCAGCCCGGAGGAGGCAGGCCTTGAAGTGAAGGCTTCCGAATTCAGCCCAATTTTAGGAACTGAGGATTTTGATGATAAATGTGGGGATGAACTTAGTGTAGGTGAAACGTTTCTCGTGGGAGGCCAGGAGGGAATGGCTGGAAAGGGCCGGTGCCTGAAGATGCTCATTACTGCCACGAGAGGGCAGCAGAGCCCAGGCTCTGTCTTCCACCCGGCTGCAAGGCAAGGCGGGGCGGTGCGCGCTGCACAAAACGCGTCCTGAGCTGCCTGGCCCGGATCATAATAAGCCATCTCCAAAATGTAAGAACAACAGCGATGAAGGGGACCTCAGAAACGACCTGGTCCTCATCTGGTAGCAGGCCAGACAGCATTCAAAGGCTCACATGATTTCGTCCAAGCCGGGGAACCGATGAGAAAGTCGGAAGTAATACCCATGACTGTGTCTCTTTAACACTATGGAAACAAACACGAGCTCATTTCCAGAAGGAGCATTTGGGGAGCCCGGTGCCCCGTCCGGAAGTGAGCCCCTGCCTCGTGCGAGAGCGGGCGAGGCCCTGCCTCGTGACCCCCGGGTAGGGGCAGCAGGTCCGGCGGAGAGGGTCGGGGTGGAGCCCCTGCGACGCCCCTCGGCGTCTCTGGGCCCAAGCGCAGCAGCGAGGAGGGGATGGCGCCGGCGGCGGGACCCCGACCCTGGCAGTGGCCACGGGGAAAGGACTGCGAGCCAGGCACAGAGTAACAAAACGGCTTTTATTTTTAGTTATTATAAATACATATTACTATATTTACTAGTGACAAACCAGAACCCATGAAAATAACTTTAACAATACTCAATCTTAGAAATGCAAAGAGGAATGCTGCGTGTTTTTATTTTTTTTTTTTTTTTTTTTTTTTTTTTT